TACTTGTTTTTTGTGCATAGGTCTATACTCCCTGGTGTGATTTTAATTAGTAGTTGTAGAGGGCAGAGATTATGCTTTAGCACATCCTTTGTAAAGATTCCCCCAAGAAGAAACCGATGGAAGAATACATAGAATATGTTTTAGAGTGTGTGCAAATCATTCAGTATTTATTTGAATGCTTACCGTTTGCCATCCGCTCTGCTAGGGATGCACAGTCAAGCAATGTGTCACTGGGCTTACACACTAGTAGGAGGTCCAGACAAATAAATCAGATAATCCAAGACAGTGTGATGTGGGACTTTAGAGCATTAGTATGAGTTGTTATGTATGTATGAGGTGTATGTATATCAAGGAAACTCTTAAGCCACTTTGAGGTGTCTGGGAAGGTGGCCTTTGAGATCGTCTGAAAACTAAAGGATAAATAAGAGTTGGCCAGCTTTAGCAGGGGTGGGGGAAGTGAGGAGATTGGGAGAGGTTGCTCATTTGAAAGGAAACCCACCTCTCTAGCCAGAGGGTAAAAGAATCCTTCTGGCTGGAGTTCAAAGGAGAAGCTATAGAAGTGACAGGGATACTGGAGGGGCTTATTAAGTGTTTGGGTTTAGTCTAAAGGATTTTTTTTTTTTAGGCCAGGGAGCAGCATGATCAATTTGTAGTTAGAAAGAGTCCTCTGGTTGTGCTGTGGAGAGTGTTTTGGCAGAGAAGAGCTGTAGGGAGATTGCTCAAGAGTTCATAGAAGTAATGGAAGGTAGAGATGAGAGTGATCTGAACCAGGAGGGTAGGTTAAGTGGAAGGATTCAAGAGACATTTTAGCAGAGAGAGCCCTTGAGAATTATGGATTGCATGGGAGGGCTGCATTATGAGAAAAAGAGACATGGTCAAGGGTGATTAGAAGTCCTTGAAGTTTCTGTTCCCCTCTCATTCCTCCACCATTGATTTTAGGCAGTCATAGATTTTGAGCTGTAGTATCCATGGCCATAAAATAAATACTTTTGGACCTAGTAGGACACTTTAAATTTTAATATACAATCGACCCTCGTTTATCACGGTTAATCAGTTCCAGACTCCACTGCGATAAGTGAATTTCCACGAAGTAGGATTCTTTATTTATATACAGACCGTCGCAGGGCTCGAAGCGCGAAGTGGCAAGGGACGAATGTATTCTAAAATCTCTATAGGAAGATTTTTAGGATATAGAAGGTAGTTTTATGTTAGAGATATTTCATGTTAAAAGATTAAATAACATACTTAAGATATATGAAATAATTCACAAGAACGAAAAAGTCATATTATTTAATATTTCAGGAAAATGTAAAGACATAACCCTGATTTTTTAAATGTTATGCCATAAACAACAGTTCATCGATGATATATTTATTAGATAAGGAAGGAATGTGAACTTTTCAGTACAGAATTGTCCATTCATTGCCCAACCTTAATGGAAATAAAAATCTAGACATAAAATATAAAGTAATGAAAACATTTGTTAGGTATACAGATCGTTTCACATAGTTCCAAGGGTCATCAAGAGACCTTTGTGGTTCCCTGGACAAACCTGGATCAATGCTCAAATGAAACATGTTACTGCTTTGGGATGATTCTTCTTTGGTAGGAAATCGCAGTGTCCAGTTCACTCCTAAATACCATCTAAGCAGTTCTTTCCCGCCCTCTCTTCATCTATTCTTCTCTCTCTTTGTTCCTTTGTTTTCCTTAAATTAATTTGTTTCTTACCAGATCTCCCTTAAATTCTTGGATTTGAGATGTTCTCTTGAGAGGTGTACATAATATGGAATTAGCACCTTTGTTTTGGTCTTGGCTTTACCAAAATCAACTCTGTGATTATGAATTTGCCACTGCTCAGGATCTTGGTTTCTACATCTGTAAATGGAGAAGGCTGAAGTAGATTAGTGATAAGCGGATTCCAGCTATGATTCTTTTATCTGCTTTTTCTTTTTCCTGCTCCTGCATATCCAGTTGCTTCCAGGCCTTTGTTTACTTGAGGGTCCCACTGGTACTTGAGATTTGTTATCAGAGCCACCCCTCATACTGAGGCTTCTGTGGCTTGTTCCAGCCCCCAGTGTCAGAACCAAGGGACTAAAGAGTGAATTACTGGAAAGCTGTCCCAGGGGAGGAGGAGAGGCAATACGGCAGCTGAAAAGCTTGTTTAAATGCTTAGAACCTGTGAGTAGGTCAGGAAACTTGCCCTTTCTTAACATTCTCTCTCTTTTCTTTTGTTATTTTTTTAAACCAGGCAGATATTTGACTTTTTTGTTTTATTTTGTTTTTCTTTCTTGTGTTTATAAATTTTTCCCCCTTGGAATAGGAAAGGTAGGGTGGTTGCTGAAGAGGAGAAAAGAGAGCCCACTGAACTTTTTTTGATAAACCACGCTTCCTGTAGGGACCCAAGGACAGATTTCCTTATAAAGGTTGTAATTCTCTGTCCCCATCCTTAAGCCCACTGTTTGCTCTTTTGATTATGGCAACCCACCTCTACATCTATCCTCAGGTACTGCTCTCTAGCATCTTTGTGACCCCCTCTCCCCGCCTGCCCGCATTGCCATGTAAGTCCTCCTTATATCCATCCTCAAGCTCATTTCCTCAGGGAATGCTAATTAACCCCACTTACAGTGTTGATCAACAATCACATTTAAGCCCCCTGGACTTCATTAAGTGTTATTCTTTAAAAATATATTTAAGCCCTGGCCAGTCTGGCTCAGTGGCCCTGTACCAGAGTCTTAAGTTTGACTCCGGTCAAGGGCCCATACCTCAGTTGCGGTCTGATCCCCAGTGCTGGTGGGGTCATGTGGGAGGCAACCAGTCAATGGGTCTCTGTCACATCCATGTCCCCTCTCCCTCTTTCCCCCCTCCCTCCCGCTTTATATGAAAATCAATGTGAGGATTAAAAAACTTTTAAAAAATATATTTAAGATAAATTCACATGCAAAATAGGAAAATACCAAGTCATATTGTGTATGTTGTAGTATGTATGGTAATATCTTAGATTACATATTTTATTTTATTTATTGATCTGAGAGAGAGAGGAAGGGAAAGGGAGAGAGAGAGAAACATCGATGGGAGAGAACATCATTTGGCCACCTCCTGCATGCCCTCCTCTGAGGATTGAGCCCACAACCTGGGCATGTGCCCTGACTGGAAACGAACCAGAAACCTGTTGGTGCATGGGTCGACGCTTAACCACTGAGCCACACTAGCCGGGCCCATTACATATTTAAATACACTAGAAATAGGGTGACTTTTCACATATTGAACTATTTAGTCTCCAAGATGAAAGAGCTGAAGGATCCTTCAGCTGTAAAGTCATTCGACCTGACTTATTTTCCATTCTCATTGTGATTGCTGTGACTTATTGAAGTTGACCCACCTTGGAAATGGGCATATTGGCTTAAACAAGATCACCTATGTCTTTTTTTTTTTTTTAAGATTTTTTTACTGATTTTTAGAAAGAGAGGGAGAGAGAGAGAAACATCGATGTGATCAAGCTCGAAACCTGGGCTTGTGCCCTGACTGGGATCAAACCATCAACCTTTTAGTGCACTGGTACACGAGATTATGCCCAACCAACTAAGCCAGCCAGCCAGGTCAAGACCACTTTTGTATTTAAAATGTAGTAATTGAGCCCTGGCCAGTTTGGCTCAGCAGTTGGAGTGTCAGCCTGCGGACCAGAGAGTCCCGGGTTCGGTTCCTGATAGGGGCATGTACCAAAAAAAAAAGTGGTAATTGAATATTGTTTCCAAAAATGTAATGTTCATGCTATGATATTTAAAATGGTACTTTTTAAATGTTATGTACACTCTACATAAGTTTAATTATAAATTGGATATTTTAAGAAGTTGTCCTGGTCCACTTTTGGTGTATTTTAAATTTGAAATGGATCTTTGAATAGCTATTCGGCTGCTGAATTAGTGGTCATTGGGTCCATTGGTTTGTCACTAGAGTGGTCTTCACAGTCTGTCACTCTGATAATAAGGAAGGTAACTTCTGTCAACTGGAGATAAAGCAAATACTTTACATTGGTTTCCCCCTCCCCCTCCACTACTGTCAACTCCCTAACTAACCATCGCTGCTTTCTCTTCTACAGAAGCAAAGATAATGTAATCGCAACACCTATTCTTCTAATTCTACACAAGCTTGAAAGCTGCCCTTTGCTGATTCCCTTTGGGATGTTAGTTTTAACTTTTGTTTTTGGGGTGGATACGACAGTTTTCCCTGCTACCCTGGGATTTACTGGATTGCAATCTTCTAAGAAGCAAATAACCAGGTCTAATTTGTGATTAGCAAAATAGTGGTTGTAGTAGAGATTTGTAAATTTGTAGAATGCAGAATAGGATTGAGTGATTTAGAGGAATCTTTTAATGCATGCTTTTGAATAAACTTTTTTTTTCTTCAATGAATGGTCTTTTGTAGATCTCAAAGTCCACTAGAAAGATAACTAGTTTTTGGTTGTTTTGTTTTGACCTTTACTATCGTAACTATTTACCTTTTCCCAAAACCCCACCCCCACCGTGCTTCCGAGTGCTTCAGTTGTCAACAATCACGTAGTCTGTACTTTTAAATAAGGTACAAATAGAAGGATGTCTTCGTCCTCCTCTAGGCCCAGGTGGGACTAGCTTGGGGGTGGGGAAGACGCAGCCCCGTAGATAATTTCGCAGGGTGACTCATTCTCTACACTGACCGTTGATTTTAAAACCGTCCAAACTATACCAGACATTGTTATGATGAAAACAACCGGGAGGTGTTGGTGGTAGAGAGAAGAACCGAGATAAAATCTGGCCAAAGCTACATGTCACACGGGAGTCGCAGCGTCAGGGCGGGTGGGGCGGCCCCGCACCTGCGTGGAGCGCGGGCCAGCGGGCGGGGCCAGCGGGCGGGGCGCCGGGGGCGGGGCCAGGGCGGGGCCAGTCCCTGGCGCTGGCGGTTGAAAGGGGGTGGAGTTGCCCTTGGGGGCGGCACCCGCTCTGGGCCCCGAGGCCCGTCGCGCCCTATCGTGCCCGAGCGAGTGGCCCCGCGGAGCCGGCGCGCTCCCGCCTGCAGGGGGAGGGCGGACGGGGCGCCGGGACCGGCCAGGCGGCGGGCGCTGTTTCTCTTTCACTTTCCTTCCCTGTGAGGCCGGCGCGCTGGCGGGCGAGGAGCGGCGGCGGCGGCGGCCGCGGGGTAGGTACCCGGCGGGCTTGAGAGCGGCGGAGGGGCCGGGACCCCGCCGCCCCCGCGCTCCCTGTCCAAGTTTGTGTCCGGAGGGGGGGGCGGCACCGGCGCTTCCAGGCACCTGCCTCGGGCCGCCCCGTCTGAAACCGGGAGAGTCCTTAGTGGGCCGGGGCGGCCGGCCGGGGCGTGGGGGCTTCGGAGGCGCGGCCTCCCCTTGGGACGGAGGGGGCGGCGGGCGGCGGGCGGCGGGCGGGGAGAGGCGGCGAGTCCTCCCCAGCGCAGCGGGGGCCCGGCGGGGTGCGCGTCCGCGGGGCCCGGGCACCTGCGGGGCGGGCGGGGCGGACTTGTGCCTGGACCGCCCAGGGCCGTACTGCCGGTCCCGCCGCTGGAGGACGCAGAAAAGTTCCCTGCCGCCCCTGCGCTGTCACTGCACGTACTTGCTTCCTTTCCGTCTTGGTGACAGAGCCCTGGCTGACGACCTTAATACCGCCCCAGGTCGGCGTGCGTTCCTTCTTTGGGGGACTTTCTCTTACTTGGCGCTTCCAGGCGAGCCTACCTGTGGGAAAGGCAGGGCCCTTACTCCCGCTGTAGAGAGGGGAGGGCGCAGACCGACGCCCAGAAATGAAATGCCTTGCTGAAGGTCATACAGAGCTGAGGACCAGAGCCCAGACCCCTGTCTGTCCATTGTGCTCTCGCTGCTACGCCCTCCACACAGTTTTCCCAGCGGGTAGGATGATTGCATGCAGAACCTATTCCGTGCACATTGTCAATGGCGGTGTGGGGATGGAACGACGCCTTTTACCTTTCCGGTTCTCCACGTATACTTACCTATGAGTGAACGGCTCAGGTCGAGAAAACGTTCCTGTTTACAGAACTAAACTTAGGAAATCAACACCTTTTTCACGTCGTGTTTTCTAAGAGGGATGCGTTTGCTGTAAGAAACCTTTAAAACTTTTTTAAAACAATAACCTTATGTACAAGTCAACTATGCTAAAGGTGCCTGGAAAAAAGTTAAGGACTTTCCGTTTTTACTGTGCTAGTTTTATGTACATTGTCCATTTAATCCTCCCCAATCTGGGAGGCTGGCATTCTTATTTTCATATTACAGTTTTGTTTTGTTTTTAAAGAGAGGATAAGTAACATTGCCCAGGTTATATATACATTTACTAAATTCGACCAGTTCCTAACAAGGAGTCTAATAGAGGAGATAAAGAGTGAATATAACAATAAATCAAAATATGTAAGAGGAAAAGGTAACAGGAGAGAAGTAAGGATTAAAAACCATGGACATTAAAAAAAAAAAAAATCCATGGACAGATTACACTGAGGATAGCATTGAAGAAGGGTTTTGAAGGATTGGTGGGATCTAGACCAGTGATTTTCAACCTTTTTTATCTCATGGCATACATAAACTAATTACTGAAATCCTGCAGCAGCCATAAACTATATTTGGGGGGGCATCTTACACATACAAAAAGGTATACTTTTGATTCATTCACACCGGATGGCTATTGTTGTGTTGGCTGTTGTCACTTTTTTATTTGACAATCTAAGGGAAAAGAGGTCAATGCCCCTGATTAAATGGTCAGGTACTGCCTGTTTTAAAAATTCTTGTGGCACACCAGTGTGTCTCTTGCAGTTGAAAATCTCTGATCTACACAGAGGAGAAGAAGGGCTTGTTGGATAGAGGGTATAGAGCCTGCAGAATGGACTATGGGAGGGGGAGTGATCCTTTCATTTTGCCTGAGGGTTGAAGGGTATGTTAAGGTCAGCCTGTGGAGGGTCCTGTATGACAAACTAAGAAACTTAAACGTTTTTCTGTTTGTAAAGAGGAGACACAGACATTCCTTTGCAGTCTTTGGCATTCTTTGCAAACCTGGTAGCAGAATATAAGATGGACTGAAGGTGGATGGGATGGTTGTGGTTGGAAATGAAAAGGACATAACTTGATTTGACTACTGACTGGGTTATGGGGTACAGAATGGAAGTAGGGGCCATTTTGATAGGGACAATAATGACTTCAATTTTGAATCTTTTAACTTGTATTACCAGGAACTAACAGAGCAGTCAAGCAGACAGTGAAAATATAATACTGAAGAGGTAAAGATGTCAAAACAGGAGTTAATAGTCTTGGATGTCATTGGTATAGAGGTGGATAGCTGAGGCTTCAGAATTGGATGGGTTTGTCATTATTCTGAATTAAATTGTAGGAGGTTTACAAATTAATGTTACAGTGAAGGCAATGTTCTCCTCACCTGTTTACCCAATTTGGAACATGTAATACTTGTTGCTAATATAACTGTATTAATACAGTATGAGGAATTTAACACCATTTTCTCTTATCTTTTAAAATTATTGTGAAAACAGGCATGGGAAAGCAGAACCACCAAAAGGAGTGATGACCAGCAATCTTGTGATAGATCTGGATGTTAGTTCTCATGCCTCAGGATATCCAGTTGGGAACTCCATACCAGCTCTTGGGATCAGACTTTCATCCACTTAATACCCTTCTTTACCTGAACTACTGAAGCCAGCCCTAGCTAACTACGAATGGCTACCCAAAGGAAACACTTGGTGAAAGATTTCAATCCTTATATCACCTGCTATATCTGTAAAGGGTATCTGATCAAGCCAACTACAGTGACCGAATGCCTCCATACCTGTGAGTAATCTTGTCATGTACCCATCAGAAGTTATGGGTTACACTTGCTCTTTTAAAAATTACCACATTTTGTTTTTATCTAGTTTTTAACTTTTAAAACAATGAGTATTCTAAGAATTATCTTAACTTTAAATATATTTACAGGATTGATTTGGGGATACCAGTGGCATGAAATTATTCTTATTTAAATTATAATAGTTGACTTTTGTCTGATTTTTAAATGTTCTAAAATCATAAGCATATTATTGGTCATAGTTTTTTAAAAAGTAAACTAGGTTTTTTATTTTTTAAAAATTATACTGAAAGAATTAATGTCAGGTTTTGTTAGAATATGCATACTTTAATTCATTGTTGTCGTTTTTAATTATTTTGTTGAGGTATGGTTGACATACAAACGGCTGTACCCATTTAATGTATACATCTTGATGAGTTTAGAGATAAGTATACACCCATGAAACCACCACCACATCACCACATCTATGCCAAAAACCTATTCATCACCACATCTATGCCGTAAACCTATTCATCACCTCCCAAAGCTTCCTCCCACCCTCTTATTTATTATTTGTGGTAAGAACACTTAACATTAAATATACCCTCTTAGCCAATTTTAAGTAGACAACATATTATTGTTCCCAATAGGCAACATGCTGACAGTAAATCTCAGGGCTTTTTCATCTTGTATAACCAAAACTTTATTCTCTTAGACTAATGACCAGTAGCCTCAGCATCACCTGGGAACTTGTTAGAAATGCAAATTATCAGGCCCCATCCCAGAATTACTTAATCAGAAAATCTGGGAGTGGGGCCATCATTATTTATTTAACAAGCTCACTAGGTGATTGTGAGGCACACTTTGAGAATCACTGTTCTGAGGTGATCATATCTATGAAACTCCTAACAAGTTTCTTTCTCACCTGCCCTATCAGTAGAGGAAGATAAATTTTTATAGCCACTTATGCCAGGATTTTACATATTTTTGTGGTTCTGCCAAAATAAATTTACTTTTCTATTTCAATGAAAGTAATTCTAGTACTAGTTTAATGCCCATTATGTACACAACAGTAGATCCTTAATATATGTACTAGATTTAATTTTAGTTTTACAGTAGCCTTAGAGCAATTTGGAGTGGATGTGGGAAGAAAGAGAGGGTATAAAGGTTATCTTTATTTTGTGGGTGTGGAAATTTAGAGTTAAGTAACTTGCCTGGTCTCACAGCTAATAAGTAGTGGACCTGCATTCAACTTCAAGCCCTTGCTCTTTCTAAGATAAAATGGTCTCTCTTTCTCTTTTGTATTTTTTAATTAAAAAAAAAAAAGTTTTTAAATTGATTTTAGAGAGAGAGGAAGGGAGAGGGAGAGAGATAGAAACATTGATGAGAGAGAACATCAACTGGCTGCCTCTGGGGATCGGGCCCACACCCTGGGCATGTATCCTGACTGGAAATAGAACCAGCGACCTATTGGTGCATGGGTTGATGCTCAACCACTGAGCCACACCAGCCAAGCTCTCTTTTTCTTTTTTAAATCCTCCCTTTCAGCTATACTCCCTCTGCTGAACTGACATATTATACCAGTAGTTTTAAACAGGGTGCAAAATATAATCACTTGGAAAAGGTTAAAATGACAAATTTTATGTTATATGTATTTTACCACAAATAAAACAAAACAAAACAAAACAAAAGAATCACCTAGGAAGTTGTTTAAACATACATATACATATACTTCACCTGGAGAGGTTTGGTGGGTGTTGTGATGTCTGGGCAGGTATATTTTGGAAAACCTCTCTAGGTGATGCTGGTGTATACTCCTTTGGGTATTTCTGGCCCATGCTCTTCAGTTGGCAATTAATTATAAACTCCTTTGAAATAATAATTTACTATTGCCTTGTATCATTAATTATTATCCAACAGATACTTACTGAATACCTACTATGTGCCATGCACCATTCTAAGCACAGAGGATACAGCAGTGAACAAGATAGTAAGAAAATCTCTACTCTCAAGAAGTTTTAGGGGAAACTAATAATAAACATGTGTCACATTAGTGATAAATGCTATGACGAAGAACAAAGGCAGCTTGTAGATGGGGGAGATTGGGTTATTTATATAGAGAGTGTCAGGGTTTACCTCTTGATATGATGACATTTGAACAGAAACATGAAGGAATTGAGCTCTGTGAATATATGGGAAGAGCATTCCAAGCAGAGGGAAAATGAAGTATGAGCCTTGAGGTGGGAATGCCCTTGGCAGGTTCAAGGAAGAGCAAATCAGTTAGGTGGCTGTTGCTGCAGGTCAGCTGAAAGACTATAGGGCCTTCACCTAGGGTAATGAGGAGTGAGATGGAGGTGGGGAAGAGTGATTGAATTGTGGATATATTTTGGAGGAAGAGCACATAGGATGTGGCTACTCTAGAGTGAGGATTTTATCTTATACGTACTTCTATATTTCCCACTATACCAAGCCTGGTATCTGGACATGGTCAACAGTCTGTTTGGCTTTTCTGCTTCTAAGGTGTGCATTGCTTTTATATTTGGTTCTCTCCAGCAATAATTGCCATCTCTGTTTGGGAAAAGAGAAAAAAGCACACATTCTTCTCTTTCTACCTGTGTAATACAGGTTTTATATGTGTTCTTCTCAAAGGAAAAATATTTGGGGCATAATGAAATCAGAATTTAAATGTCACTTTTTTGGAGGAAAAACAAAATATTCTAAAAGTATAAATAATCAGTTTATAAGCAAGGGTATGTTTATGTTTGCAACAGCAATTTAAGGTATAAAGAAGTAAGTGACAGTTTAACTTCACAAGCCATTCTGGCATGAAAAGTCCTTTGGAAGTCATCAAGCCCCTTTACTGAGAGAGAATGAAAATAGCAGAAGTGTGATTAAAAGATAGTGGTAAATCACAAATGTCGCCTTTTATCATCAACAAAGGACAAAAACAGAGTAAATGATGGAGTCAGATACTCAACCCAGTGTCTGAGGATACCTGAGGATTCTATAGTGCTGTTAATCTCTCTGCATGTTCCAGTCCTTGGAATTTGTATTTTTTTTTATAGTTATATTAGGGCTTATAATAAGGAAAAAATTATCCCACTTGCAAAATATTTCCTTATTAGTATTGATAAAATGAATAGTACCACAAAGCAGTGTTTCTCAGTCACTGGTTAGATCTTCGATGTTACCCGGTTTTCCTATATGTAATGTGGACAGAGATAGTAGTATTGTGATTTGGGAGTAGTATGAAATAAAAAAGTAAGATGGCCAAATGGGACAAAAGGAAAGTGAGAAGTGTTAAGTGACATTGTGATACCTCATAATGTTTTCAATCTTTGCTTAGTCATATAAAAATAATATCTTATTAAGATAACTTTGAACAAAGACTGTAATTTTATGATAATATAATTATTATGAAAACTAATTATAAATATAAAGATTTTGGTCTTAGTGTTCCAGTTTGAAACATATAAATGGAGCTTTATTATTGGTGAGCAGAACCAGACATGGAATCTGCCCTCTGGACTTTCTGGTCAAGTGAAGAAAGTAATCAAGTTAAGAAATGTATAAAATAGCCCTGGTCGGTTTGGCTCAGCGGTTAGAGCGTCGGCCTGCGGTCCAGAGAGACCCGGGTTCGGTTCCCGCTAAGGGCACGTACTTCGGTTGCAGTTTGTCCCCGGCCCTGGTTGGTTGTGCGGGTGGCAGCCACTCGATGTGTCCCTTTCACGTCGATGTTTCTCTCTCTCTCTCTCTTCCTCTCTCTCCCTCCCACTCTATCTGAACAGAAAATGGAAAAATGTCCTCAGGTGAGGATAAAAAAAAAAAAAAAAAAAGAAATGTATAAAATAAAATTGGATATGTGATAAAAATAATGAAACAATAAAATAACAGGTATGTGTCAGGAGACTGCAGTAAAATTGAATGCTACAGAAGAAAGAAGCCAAAGTGTTTTCTGAAATTCCTAAAGCCATAAGCCCTAGGCCTTCTCAGGCAGGGACATTAGTGTTTGGGCCTGGCTGCAGAAGTGCCCTGGGGTGGGAAGTGGGGATTCTTAAGTGGTCTCCCTGCTTTGATATGGATAAATAAAGATCTTTTACTCTTCTTGCAAAATCTTTTCAAAGACAAGTTAACTCTTTTCTGTTCTAAAATGAGAGAGGTGTTGCTCTCTCATTCTCTCATTGAGCAATTCTGGAGCTAACACTGACTGGTTTCCTGTAGATGTAGAATGAGGGGCCCACAGGACCATCAGGATGGCTGAGGGCAGCAGCCCTTGAGGTTGTTAGCACTTCAGCTAGGTGGAAGGAGGAGAAAGGGGCAAGCCAATCAGAAGGAAGGGGGAGGCAGAGCCCACAGGGCAAGCTGTGTCCCAGACTCCTGGCATGGAGTGGGGGGAAAAAACTTATAAATGCCTACTAACACCACTTCCCTTTAGCAGGCCAAGGAAATTCTATACAAAGATAAAATTTTAAAATGAGGTAAAAATTTAAAACATAAGTTAGTTTCTAGTGTTAAAAGACCAGTTAATACTAGAGGAACTAAGTCTACATTTACTATGGTTACAAGTCTGTGCGATAATTTTAATAATTCAACAAATCTAAGGAAATAAACATGTTCACACAAATAATTGTTGAATTTTTAAAAATAAATAATTAGGTGTCAAGCCTTTACCAGCCACTAGGGTAGAGTGGTTTTAAAAAAGAGAGAGAGAGAGAGAGAAATTTGGAACTTAAAACTCTATCAAGCAAAACTCATAAGATAAGAAGAAATTTCTATACATGTATTTTGGATCAATCTTTTTTTTTTTAATTTTTTTTCCTTTATTGATTTTAGAGAGGAAGTGAGAGGAGGAGAGAGATAGAAACATCAGTGAGAGAAAACATCAATTGGCCTCCTTCTGCATGCCCCTCACTGGGGATCAGGCCCACAACCTGGACATGTGTCCTGACCGGGAATCGAACCAGCGACCTCTTGGTGCATGAATTAATGCTCAACCACTGAACCACAC